ATCATAACAAACAATGGACAGCCTTGAGAAGAATAGGAGTTCCGGAACATTTCATTGTGCTCAGTCTTAACTTGTACGTGTATCAAGAGGCAGTGGTTCAAACAAAACAAGGGAATGCTGTGTGACTTGTAATCAGGAAAAGTAGGTGTTAGGGTTGTATCCTCTCACCATACTTGTTTAATCTGTATGCTGATCAAATCATCAGAGAAGCTGGACTGTATGAAGAAGATTGTGGCATCAGGATTGGAGGAATGTTTATTAACCACCTGCAGTATGCAGATGACACCACCTTGCTGGAAGTAAGGAGTACTCGAAGCATTTGCTGATAAGACCAAGGATTGCAGCCTCTTTGGGATTACAATTCAATGTCAAGAAAATCAAAATCCTCACAACTGGACCAATAGGTAACATCCTAATAAATGGACAAAAGTTTGAAGTTGTCAAGAATTGTGTCAGGCTTGAATCACGCTCGATATTCATGGGAACAGTAGTCAAGAGACCAATCTATGAGTTGTGTTAGGTAAATCTGCTGCAAAAAACCTTCTTAGAGTTCAAACTTCTTAGAGCATTGAAAAGCAAGGATATTTCTTCGATGACTAAGGTGCACCTGACCAGAGCCCTACTAATCTCCATTGCATCATAATCATTGACATTGAATAATGAAGACGAAAGAAGGATTGATGCAGTAAAATTGTGGTGTGGGAGGGGAATATTGAATGTACCACGGACTGCTAAAAGGACAAACCAATCTGAATTTGAAGAAGTATGGCCAGACTGCCGCTTCAGACAAGATGTGAGATTTCATCGTATGTTCTTTGGACATATTGTGAGAAGAGACCGGTCCCTGGAGAAGGACGTCATGCTTGGTAAAGTAGAGGGACAGCAAAAAGGAAGGTCCTGGAGGAAATGGATCAGCACAGGGGATCAGACAACAATGGGATCAGACATAGGCACAGTTGTGAAAATTACACAAAACTAGGCAGTTTTTCATTTCTTTGAAGCTGTGGGTTGAAATCAACTCACCTGAAAACAACAACAACAATAACCCTATAACATCTACACCTATGAGATATTTGTTTTATATAAACAATGAAAACTCATAGAATTCCTGTCTTGGAGAATTTATTTACTATTGATGCCTCACACCTGTAAAGATTATTCTTGGAGAGCTGAATGAGTAGGGACATACTTGTTTTAATACTCAGAAATATCATGTTGCAGTTAAACTTGTTCGAATCAGAACATAAGAGGACGGCCTTATTTTTTCAGGTCTCGCAGTGTTTTTACTTTTTGTAAGCTATAGTCTTAGCGCCTTTTATCATTCATTTTGGAGAAAAATATTTGTATTTTCATTCTCTGAAAGGTTTCTGCTTTACACAGGTTCTTGAATTCACAGGTTTTACTGTAGGAAATTAAGTCACAAAGTATTATTACAAATTTAGAGAAAACTTTACTTAGCAATTTATCAAAACGTGAAGCTATTATTTTGTGGCATACCCTTCATCTACATCCATATATACTTCTGAAGACAGTATTTACATCTCCTAATCCTTGTCTGAAAACAATCACATGATTGCATAGTTTTAGTTGCTGACAGCTCTGTCAACAGTTTGAAATTATAGGCCACTCTGTGGAGGAAGACGAGGCTTTCTACTCCTGCAAAGATTTACATTTTCAAAAAGAAAAACCCTGGGGAAGTTCTACTCTGTCCTGAAAGACCGCTATAACTCCACAGAGATCAGTTAATATTTACCCACAAATGCTGTGTTCTTTAATTTATACTATGTCAAAGCAGCAGTT